ATATATATTTGTTTTTACAAGTCGACAAAAAAATAGTCAACGTGAACGTTTATGTTTATATGTTTTTTGAAAAAGGCATCTTGATAAACTCTGTCATGTATGCATTTATGAGTTGCTTTTAGTTTGATATTTCAGGGTGCACCTTTAACTGTTTTTGATTTTGACACCAACAGCTGACGTGCGGGCCCAGACCATGGAGCCTCTGCTGTGCTGTATAGAAAGTTGTGCCTCACTGATAAAAGATTATTGTGTCCCACACTGCCCATAGCATACAGAGACAGGCTCCCGTGTCAGTATCAGACCAAAAATAAAATAAAAAGAAGGGGAGAATATTAAGGACATATTCATGATTTTTTTTAATATAAATAAAAATGAAAGCACTAATTACAGCATTTCCACACAAAGCTGCACATTTGGAAAACAATGCCACCTTTTGGTCTGTAACGTGATACAGTTTGAAATAGTTTTCTTTATCTTTGAATCAAGGTCATGGGGGAAAATGTGGGCTTCAGAGTTACTGCTGAGAGTGGCACATACAAAAGATACACTTGTCTGATGCAATCGCAGCTTAAACACATTCTTATAGTGTTTAATTTCTTCTTTACTTCAAGCGAAACTTGGTGTTTAACAGCCTGAAATCAATGAGCATAAACTTTAAGGAACTCCCTGTTGATGAGTGTGCGGCTACAACAGAAACGAAACCAAAACAAACATGAACTCAGTCACCGAAACACAAACCCTTCAATAAAAATCGAAACAGAATGGGATGAAAGGACAGGGGAAAGCAGAAGGATGAGCGAGTTAGTTGAAACCGTGTGTCACCCTCAGACATGTTTGTTTTCTTGACATTTTGTGGGTCTGAGCTGTGAAAGAACTGCAACCTAACAAGGACAAAGAACAGGCAATAAAACATTTGAGTTGCACAACTAATTAAAGAGTAAATGCAGAGTAATTAACTATAGGCTGGTTGTTAGATCAAAAGGGGCTTTTTTTTCCTGAAAATTCTTAGCAGGGGGCAACAAACTCAAACTTACCTTTATTATTATTATTA